GTCTATCTGCAATTATATCTCTGCTTTATTTGCCGGGCTTATATACTAAAATAGAGGGCGCCTAGAAAAGACTAGAGTTGCCAGGAACAGTCATGCTTCTAGCGTCACGTGACGTCCGCTGTCGTAACAATACCTAGCTTTTATTATAAATGAAGCAAAATAAATAAAGTTTTGTTCTTACATATTTGAAAATAACATAGCTTGGATATTTACTTATTATTGTTTGGGGATGAGAGGAAAGTGGTTCAATAAAATGTAAATTGAAAATAGTATGAACCTATATTATTTACTTCTTGTCAGTTTGCTTCATAGAATTAACTCCATTAATCTATATATTACTTCTTGTTTCTGATCTGTATAGTTTGCTTTTTTTTGATCACATGCTATTGATAAGAGTTTTATTTTTTGATTTAATTTTTCGTTTTCCGTACGGAGATATTTCTCCTTTTCTAACTGACATTTGCAGGTGTCTAAATGCTGTACCCCTAAGCGAAAGTGGGTTTGTTTGGATGGGTCGTGTTGGCTACCTAGTGTGGAATTGAGGTCATTAACACAGTCTAGACGTTGGGTAAGGAAAGTTGAATGTGACGACCGTGAAGACAAATATTGAGTGGATCAGTAAAGTGAGGTACTATATAGAGAACTGTTATTTTCATGAAAAATTTTCAAAGCTACAAAGAAAGGTGTCGCTTGTTTTCTGTACTCACTGCTTCGTTTGGCTTTCAGCCGGTTATCACCTCTGTCTGCTCTGCTGGAAATACAGAAGTACCAGCTTAACTAACCCGGCGATAACGCGGATCGTCGAAGTTGCAAAGCAGTTCAGAAACCAGTATATCATTATCACTGTATCAGAGTACAACCCTGTGGCCTCAAACTTCAAAGTAGCAACGATCGGAGTCTAGTCTTGTTAGAAAAGTAAGGTGTAGATTTCTACTAGTACCAGCTCTTGCCTCCAGTAAAAATATAACTTTTTTCACTTTTTAGATGTTTATTTGTTTCAGTTTTATTTCCCATGGCATGGGCATATCTTGACTTAAGTTAAGATATTCTTAAGCATATTCCGTACTAATAGTAACAGTAGTAGGACTTTTAACATTAAAAGTTTCTGTAAGTAATGTCTGTAATTTTTTATTCAGTTTCTGGTTTTTCCAATGATTTGAAAACTCTGTTTCCTAATATTAGTAACAATCTTTTACAAATTACGATGCACCTTTTTGATTACTGTATGAAGTTGCATCTTACATATAAAAACAAAAGTAATTAACAATATACGTTAAAAGGCCTAAATTAACTTGCTTTACAACCTGTATTACTTCAGTTTAGATTAATTTAAGAGAAAAATCAAGGATTTACTGAAAAGTAAGGGTGGGTATAAATTTTTACTTTTTTGAAGGATGGATGTGCAGAGACAGTCTTGAAGTTGAACTTGAAGTACCAAATGGCCTCTTCTTGTTTATGTGTTAGTATTGTTATGTTATCAAGCATATTCTGTCTCTTGAACTCCCCCAAAACATAAAACTATTCTCTAAGATATTCATCATACCTTTTCTCTACTGCTCTTAGACTTATTTATACAATTTAAGGATGATATGGGCTCTGTTGGTTCATTTAAGCCATCCTGTCAACTATACTAAACTCTAAAACAAAACATTCAAATTTATTTCTTATCATTCAGATGCTTATAAATTAATTGCATCTGCCACAACTGAAGGTAACCCATTCTAAAGGCCAACCACCTGTTAGAAAAATAAAAGCTGTCTTATCTAAGATGATGCATACCTTGCCAAAATTTATATTTGTGTCCAGAGCCATTGCTAGGCACCAGTACATGCCCCAATTCCCCAGTTGGTGTCTTGAATAAACAGAATAGAAAACCACAATTGATATCAAAGTGAAATTCTGAAAATTCCTGTGCCTATGAACCAGAGGCTTGAATCTTTACCTAATGATGCTTCTGTTTATGTCCCCTAGTTGTAATGTGTTCCATAGATTTACCACCCTATTGGAGAGTTAAAACCACTTCAAATGGAGATGTGGCAGGCCTTTCCAAATCCGTACTTGCACCTTAGATTAAAAGTGATTTATTTAAAAAAGAAATTATAAGCTACTCTACCCAGCTATATATGTTATGGAATTATTGATATTTCTCAGCTACTTACATATATGTAAATGAATATGTATATTGTGTTATTAGTTTGAATGGTTTAAATCTTTGTTAAATAGGCATGTAGATGTTAAACTTTAAAGTTAAGCTAGTTTAAAAATTCAACAGAAGTATGAGATTGTTTACTATTATTTCATTTTTTGGGTCCTAATATTTGCCACAAAGTACCCTGAGCTAAACAATAAACTAAATAAATAAGACACAAAACATATATATATATATAATTTCAGCAAATATATTTTACTGCTTTGCCTTGCAGTGAAGTACTTTATGATAAGAGAACTTTTTAAAATTAGAATCAGAAAAGATAACTTTACTATATATATATTTATGTATGCACACACACACACACAAAACACAAATAATATAAATAAACTATATAATAAATTTATTGGATAACAAAATATTAGCAAAAGACTTAAAATATATTGTGTTGAATTAATAAAGTAGCAAAATCTTTGTTGTAATGATTCAGTTTGTTGGTTTCTATAAATGAAATTAAAATGTAATTGTGGTTGAGAATATTTTTGACTTTCTTGCAAATGTATTTGTGGTTACTTTACAATAATTAGTAGGACCACATTTTTTGGATGAGTGATGACAATCGGATTAAATACCTAATGTCTCCTTGCCTTGTTTCATGTCTCTTTAATTTGAGTTTATAATTTTCACTTTTTTTTACAGCCTGGCCATCTTTTTAACTCTTATTGAAGTATTGTAAGAAATGATATACAACATAGAATTTTACTGTATATTAATTACTAATAATGTTCACTACACTGATTTAGGTTTGATTCAGAATGAATTTTTTTGTGTATAGTTAATTATTTGTCATGTATTGACACAGTTTATAGTACTGAGAATTTTCACTATTATAATTATAGATTTCACGGTTTTAGAAATTATAGATAATGGGATGTAAAAGTTGAACTAAACATTTTAGATAGTAAACAGGATATGTAAACATTAGGAGGAAAGTATAAAGTTATCTAAAGTATTTACTCTTCCACCTTGAGAATGTTATATCAACTACTTATGTGATAGATCATAAGGCTACTTATTAAAACCCTATACTTGTAATAAAAAAACAACAACGTGTAAAGACCAATCAAGATATAAATCCCAAAGTAATAAACTGCTTGATTTTTAAGTCTCTGAATGGGTTTTGTGATAATAACTGCATATTATCAGCATGTGTCCAATGTAGTAAAATAAATGTAAGAAAACAATTAGAATAACTATTGCAACACCCACTTCTACTGGTACAGAAAATAATTGGTTTTATGATTAATGGGTTTTGTCAAGGACATTACAGAAGAGGATCCCTCTCAATTAGTGCAGTATATGTACAGTGAACATTTATTAAACAAGCGAAAATTTGTGAATAAACTGTAAGGAATTATTTGTTAATTAACATGATTTAAATAAGTACTAGATTTATAAAAACATTACCATTGAAGTTTATTCGGTAAAATGTTAATGATCTACATACTAACATGACCTGTTAATTTACTAAACAAAATTATTAAAATATTTTGTTTAAACCAACAGTAAATGGTTTACCCTGTACATTAAAGTATTCATAATGTGTTTAATTATGCCTTTTGGTGTGTTACAGTGGTGAATGTAGGGTGAATGCCACTATTAGAAGTACACAATATTCACTATTTATTTACTGAAGTAGACAAAACTTAATTTTTTCTTCAGTTAGCAATCAAACATTCAACAAGTGATGCATGTATTGTACTTACCATAGCCATATTTTCAAAGAAGATTCTACTTTCCATATTTTATTTAACAAAAAACCAATCCTGAACATACTCTGTGTTTTGCAGTTACAAATAAATAACTAAAGAGTATGTTCACAGGGCTTGAGTTTTGGTAGCTCAGGGCATGTAGGTTCAAGCCTTAATTAGGATCCCCATATATATAGTGGTTATCCCTGAGGACTACTTATGCTAAGTAAGTGTATATGGTAAGTAAAACCATTTATATACATGCTTGACTCAACAGTTGAGGTATCTTTAACCTTAAGGTGGGAGGATAGTGATATCTGTTTGGGTTGAGCCCTATTAGATCATTGGCTTCATGCATTAATGTGAAGTTTTGTGAGCTCAAACCCTGGTATGTCTGGTATAATAACCTGAATAAAAACATTCAAAGGTTGCGAGTTCAAGCCTTTGTCAGATTTTTAAAATAACTTTATACTTTAGATCACATTCTGGTACAAGCAAAAGTACCCATCCCCAGTGATGGGAAAAGTTTAAGTTAATCTATCAATTTAAATTATTTCATGACTTTAAAAAGTTAATTAGTGTTGCACTCTTGGTTTTACTCTAGAGCCAAAGCTTTGAGTCTACTTATACTGAA